AAATAATGTTTTAACCCCAACCTTGCATGCAAGCACATAAACTTCGTGAATTTATGGTTTAGTAGGTCTAAAAGGACCTAGATGCAAGCACATTAAGTCATGAATGAAGTCCCAAAGAAGGTAGCCAGTACACTGGGGACACTCCCTGGTACGCCACACATATTGGGTCAAACTCCCTGTCTTGGTCAAGGCCAGCGTATGTTGGGCGTACATGCCCGATACACTATGCGTACGCATGCAGATTGAGAAAATTAGACTTTTAGGCCCTAAGAGGATGGGCCTGGACTTTTGGGCCCCATGGCCTACTATGAAGTATCATTTTGGACTTAGGAATATGGAACTGGAGTATTGGGCCTTTTTGGGCCAAGATTGGGCCCTTGAGAATTATTATATTGGACTTGGGAAATTTTGGGCCCGTTTGGGGAAAATAAGGTCTAATTCAGAAATTTGACAATGAGTGAGCCCTTAGGGAATCCTTAATGGACTGTAAGAGAGCTGGACTTGATAAGCTAGAATCGGAACTTAAGTATGTCCTAATAGACTCTGATTGAGTGTTATGTGTCTCTAATATTTGGGAGTTAGTGGAGCAGCTGTTAGAGATTTCCTCCGCAAGGTTCAACACACAATTTACAAGGTGAGTTACCTTCCAGTAGAAGTGGGTCTAAAGCACCAAGGCCAACCCACTAGTAGTTGGTTACAGTTTAGATGATTATCTCTGTGGTAATTGTTTGGTTTGCTATTACTTGATATGTTCTATGTGCTAGTATATGTTATGTTCTATGTGATGATGGTAGTAGGAGGGGGATTAGTCTCCCGATCGGTTGTTAGGACCGAAGGGTAGGTCTAACACCCCAGATATGTCTGAAAGTATGTTTATGATATGTTATTATATGATAGTAGTAGGGGGTGAAATAGTCCCCGTTACCGGGTGAGATAGACCGTAGGGTAGGCAGGCACCCCAGAATGGTCTCACACGGCTAGTCAGCACCCCAGAATGGCTTGACACGGGTAGTCAGTACCCCATAATGGCTTGACATGGGTAGGCTGGGCACCCCAGAATTCCCGGCAACATGTATGATTGTATAGTATGTGGTACGATGGGGGAAATCACTAAGCTTTGTGCTTAAAGTTTTAGTTTTGGTTTCAGGTACCTCTTTATCGAAAGGGAAGGAGTCGGCGGCGTAGCAGCACATCACACACACATGATTTCCGCATTGAGTTTTCTGGGATTGTATTCTAATTTTTATTACTGTCTGATGTTTGATTTTGAGACATGTTCATGATGGTTTATGGATTGATATGATATTGAAAATGTTTTCGGTAAACGATTTTATAAATTACTTAATTAAAAACGAAAATTTTGGACTCGAAAATTAGGATGTTACAAGTTGGTATCATAACCTTGGTTTGAGGGATCTAGACACACCTTCGGGGGTGTATGGACTCAAATTGAGGGCTTGAAGCATTTTTACAAGAAAATAGTTTCTAAAATCTAAGTTAAAGAATTTTGAGAAAGAACGAGGTGTGTGATGCATGCAACCGGCTGAGCTCTAGTAAGTTTTCCCCAAAATACCCATAATTGATACGTTATGTTATATGATATGAAAATGAGAACTACATGCTAGATTAGGGCTAAGGATCTACGAAAATGCCTTGTATGCCTGTTATATGATTCCGAGAACTGCATGCTAGAATATAACTAAAGATCTAGGAAGGATGCCTTATATGCCTGTTGTATGAGCTTATTGAGCAATTTGCTAGGGAAGTTAGTCAATAGTATGAAAGCGTAATTAGCTTATGCTTGATTTGGTCATTCAATGCACGAATGTTGCTTGCTTTGTGCTATAAGGGTTCTAGATAACTTTAACTAACCAGTAAGCAAATATGTAGAAAGATTCGCAAGCTAGTTAGGGAAAGATGGTAGGGACTCCTTGTGCAACTGATGGCGGAGAGTAGGTTGGAGAGTTCCCTAGGACAAGCCTAGGATTAGATTATTTGGAAACTTGTATTAGTAGAAAACGACTTCGTGAAGTCAAGGTAGTTCTTAAGGAAAGTAAGGATAGATGCAGAAGGTAGTATGGGCCCGTACTACTGGAAGCAGAAGATCCGTACTCGAATCAAGGAAGGCTGAGATAGAACTAGGAAACTTGGAGAGCATTTGAGATCTCTCGAGAGTATGTATGACCCTAATATAATTGTGTTTGTTTTCAGTATGGCGATTACACGACATGGAGAAGGAGGTTTAGGATCAGGGTCAGGATCAGGATCAGGCTCGAGTGCGGGATCTGAGTAGGTTGATGATGGGTTGCACGAGTTCATCGCATCTGAGATCACGAGAGGTATCCTTGAGGCGACCCCGGTCATTTTCGGGTCGATTAAGGAGGGGATTATTGAGCTGATGGAGGATCGCCTCCGGATATTCAGGAGTGATTTGGCATCTAGCTAGTTAAGTACGCATACATTGTCCTCCAAGAACTTCCAGGGGAGTGGTGCACCAGACTTTCACGGGGTGAAGAACCCCATTTCTACTAGGAGATGGATCACAAACATTGAGTCTGCACAACTGACGAGCTTCTGCCCGGAGGGGTCGAATGTCACACCCCAAAACCGAAATGACGGAAATGTTCTGGGGTGGAGGACATCATGTACAGTATCACAACAAAGCATAATAGTAAACAAGCAACAACATCATCCATTGCATTAATATTATAATTTAATACAAGTGTGTTCTGTATAGTTATAAGACACCAAAAATATGAATCAAAATAAGAGATGAGTCTTGAACGTGCTCCATCTTCTAAAAAACCCGGCATCGGTACCTGTCTACTGATGACCTGAGAATACAAGTTATTTTGAAAGAGTTTATCAGCTTTAAAGTTGTTGAGTTTATAAGCATTTTAGTGTCATTGTTTGTATGAAAATGATTATAAGTGTTTGAAGTATAAGTTTGTATCTCCTAGAAAATCCTATGTTTTCTACTAAAAAGTAGCCTTCTACCAAGGCATCAAATGTTCTGTATGTTTGTTTCTTGTAAAAGTGTGTATTTTTCCCAAGTGTGACTATCATTAACAGAATATAGTTTTTACATTACCGTTTATGTGAGAAGATCACAATATGATGTGACTACTATTGTACTAACTACCTTAAACCAATTGTTAATTAAGGTATAATGTGATATGATTGTAACCATACTTGATCGACTAGTAAAACACGACTCTTGAAGACGTCGAAATGGTGTGACATTCGTCACCCGTAGACATGCAGGTCCCGCTGTAGCTAGAAGCAAGGTGTAGGACGGTCAGTCCCGTATAGATCTATACATAAATTCACATTGTCCCTCTATGAGACTCTAGTTACAAAACGACCCATAGCAGTGATTGCATGCCCCGAAGTAGTGGCTCACATTTATGTTATAGTATTCTTGTATATGTATTGTATGTACTAGTGTAGTGTATGTTCTCTCTGTCTAGTATTTAGTATGTTCTCTTTGTTTCTCATCATAGTATGTTCTCTTGTATAGTGTATAGTATGTATTGTTTCTTTTTATAGTATGTATTGACTCATGTATGAAGTGACTCTTTGTATGTTTCATTGTACTAGAAACAGTGAGTAGTGACTTCCTAAACTATACCTATAATAGTTTAGTAGTAGAGTTGTTTGTATAACTGAACATGTTTGTACACCTTTGCTACCCAAAGGTATTGAACTGAGATAAAAGCTTTTATGTCTATACATATATACATAATATATAACCAAGGATCAAATGACACTCAGACAAACAACAGGGTACTCCAAGTTCACAACCAAACAAGGAACATGAAATAAAGTGAGTTATTAGTCCTAAGTCCTTCCAACCTGACTTATATAACTATATATGCATTAGACATGGTTTTTGACAATATATAAGTTTGAAAGAGTTAAAAGAAAAGGATTGGCATATAAGAACAAATTTGATAAATATTTTAGTATGTAAAAGAGTTTGATAAATATTTTGAAGTAGTTTGCAAGATAAAACAGTTAAAAGTATAGTAAATCCATTTGTTTGATAATTATTAATCACATGTCATTGATATAATAAGTATAATGTTTGAACTTGTATTTCCCCCATAAAAGCATTTAAATCATTTAAAAGGTAGATTAAGGGGTATGAACTCACCTGTAGTGAGTGGTTTGGATTAATGAGTGGTATAGGATGCTAAGTGCCAAGTGAAGACTTGAGCACACACATATATCCTATTTTTCATATAATGATACATATATGTATACAATTAGTGTTTAAACGACTAATTATGTAAGGAAAGACACCCTAGGTCATAGAAAACACTTAGATTCAAGTGCTAGAAGTACTACGGGTTGCATATTGTGGGTGTATGGCCACACATTAGTGTTTACGGCCAAGAGGTTGTGTTTCATGTGTGTATATGGCCAGAGTGTATGGCCCAAGTGAGTGTACGACCGTACACTCATGGTTAAACATGCTATTGAGTGGTTTAAAGTCTTCTTAAGCACCTAGGTAGTGTGCCTTGACCAATACTTAACCTTATTGAAAGTTAAATGCCATTTTGGACCTTAAAAAGGGTGTGTATGGCCATACAAGGAGTTTACATCCATACACCCTTGATAATAATCTAAATATGGCCAAAAGGGTATTCCAAGGTTCTATATTTCATTCCCTAAGTGTTCTGGATCAAGAGCTGGCTTAGAACATGAGTTTTGAGGCCATTTAGCACCAAATGAAGGGGTATACATCCACATAAGGTGTGTACGGCCGTACAAAGGAGAAGCCTTTTGGGGTGTTTGAGGTCCAAAAATTAGAAGACTAAGTTGCACGGAAACGGATACGACAACGGGAAACGGGAAACGGCAAAACTCAAAAATTCAAGATACGGATACGGCACAGATACGACAATATAAAAAATATGAAAAAACATATCTATATTAAAGAAATTCCAAAATATGTAAAGTTTAAATTCCCAAAATACTAAATATTTCAAAAGTAACTAATAATCAATAATTAATTCATTTTCAAAATCGGGTTCATCTAGTGAGAGATCTGCAAACTCCAAAAACCCGACGTCTTCCATTGAATCAAAAGCATCTCCGCCCACATCCCACATCTTTACATCATCTTTCGGAGTCCTTGACAAAAGTCGGAGATTATTGTGGATGTAAACCAAGTCTTGAGCACGACTTGTAGTCAGCTTGTTCCTTTTAAGCGAGTGGATAAATGCATAAGTACTCCAATTACGCTCAGCACAAGAAGAAGAACTAGGTTGTCCAAGTAATCTAAAAGCCAAAGTCTGGAGAAAAGGAGTTTGAGCACCAAAGTTAACCCACCAATTCTTGGGTTCCATAGTAGCCATCTTTGAAATGCTTGTTAAATCTTCAAAAGGACCACTCTTCATTGAAAACATCGCATACTCATCAAGGACTCTGCCATACTCATCATCATTAGGAAATAACCTTCGAAAGCATTTCATCCTTTCTTGTGAAATTTCTCCATCCCTATGTGGAGCACATCTTGTAGAATCTTCCATTAACCATGCATCACTATAATATCTACAACCTCCAAAAGTTAAAAGATAAATATTTAATACAAATCAAGTTTATAATTTAAAATCTTATACCTTGGATGTAAAGAGTGACCTAAACAGTGTAAGGGGTGTTATTCTTCGCCCATCGAGCCACTAAAATACGATGCACAATGTCGTAAAAACAACTTATTTGAGATGCAGGACGTTTTTCTTTCTTGTAGATCTCAATCTTCACTTTCTCAATCATAGAATTCTACATCTCATAGACCAAGTGTAAACATGGCTTGTCAGTGTCACAAGCTCTAATCATCTCATATATAGGTCCAGTGAAACTAAGAATATATGTTACTTTATCCCACCAATCATCATTCAAAATATATTCTTTCACAGAGTTTGCCTTCTCAGTGTCATCTAATCTATAAGAAGACCATTCTTCGCTTATGACCATAGCTTTAAGACCCCTTTTGATAAGTTTCAATCTCTTAAGCATCACAATGATGGAGGCAAAGAGAGTGTCAGCAACAGAAAGCAACCTAAGAGGAGTAAACTTGGTGAAAATCGAGAGCCTCATGTTATGGTTCATGATGAAATTTTTTATTGCAAACGCCTCTTCATGAACTTCTTTTATCCAGCGGCACTGTTCATATGTTAGTTCATTTGTTTCCACATTCCTTGGTGAACAAATGTTCTTCAAAGCAAGATTAAGTGTATGAACAACACATGGTGTCCAATAGATGTGAGGAAACTGACTCTCTATAATCTCTCCAGCCGCCTTACAATTTGCTGCATTATCGGTAATGATTTGCACAACATTTTCATGACCAATTTCATTAATGACTTCCTTCATCAATTCAGCAATAAAAAATCTATCTTTCACTTCCCCAAAACAATTCACTGCCTTTAGAAACAAAGGACCATTGCCTGAGGTAGCCATGAAGTTGATTAGAGGTGTTCTTGTAGGATCACTCCAACCATCACTCACAATAGTCACACCCTTTTCTTTCCATGTTAACCTAAGTGGCTCCAATAGCTTGTGAACATTATCTTTTTCTTTTTGTAGTAATGTTGTTCTTAGCTTATTATAACCAGGAGGTACATAACCATCAATTTTGTTGTTAGCAGCAAACTGAAAAGCCCTTACATAGTGTGGATTTCTTGCAAGATTAAAAGGTAAACCTCCGGTATAAAACATTCTAGCTATTTCTTGATCCAGTTGGTCCCTAATTTCAACACCAAAAGCTCTTTCAATAGGTGTTGAAATACCTTTTCTTTTCTTAAATCCAACACCAGCTTCACATGGCAACTGAACTTCTTTTGCTTGTGACTCGGTTTTCTTCTTTTCATACTCATCTTCTAATTGTGTCATGTTAAGTTTGTCAGTTGTTGTTGCTTTCTTGCAAATAGAAATCCCGGTACCTATATTAAACAACATAAAAACATTGACATTCTCAATTACACAACACGAAAAAAAATAAGGTCATCAACTCATCATTAACATTATAAATTCAATTACATTACATTAATCAAAACAAGAAAGTGAAGGGACGTAGGGTAATTGTAGGGTAACCTTTGCAATCGGTGAAGCACAGCAGTTTGCAATAACCTTTGCAAACTTTAATTTTATTAATCGGCTAATTGTATTAGTGAAGGGACGTAGGGTAATTGTAGGGTAATACACTAATACATAATAGACTAATAGCAACCGTCGGTAGTTCGATTAAAGCCCATTACTTCACCACGTAATAAAAGCCCATGCAAAAAAAGGAAACGCGCACGATACTTGCGAGAAACGTTTCGTGTGTAGTCGATACTTGCCGAAAACGTTTCTCGGCCGTTTCTCAGGCATTTCCGTTTCTTGCACGTTTCAGATACGGGAGCGGCAGCTTCTAAGGCGTTTCCATGCATCATAGTTAGAAGATGTACTTGGTGTTCTTGGTGAACACTTCAATATCTAAACAAAATGAGTAATTTCATGGATGAAATGGTGGATCCTTACTAGATATTGTAAAGAATCATCAAATAGAAGGAAGAAAACACTTACAACTTGAATATATAGAAGCGAAAACGGATGATACTTGAGAGAGAACTTGGTTTTTGGCTTAAGAGTGTGAAAAGAGGTGAAAGGAGGCTAACAATGTCATTTATACATGAGAGTGTACAACCAGAAGGGGGTATACGACCGTACACTCCATGTGTACGGCCGTACACTCATTAATTTGGAGTGTTTGGCCGATTTTTGAAGTGTTGAACTTGTGGGACTCCTTTATAAACCCTAACTTTGAGGATACAAGGCTTAGAGCACTCTAATGGACTCTAAACATTGCTAGAAGATAGCAAAAACGAGTCTAAACTTGATTGATTTGAATGGTTTGTACAAGAAAGAAATTTCGGGTTTTCACATCAAAGGTCCGCTTCGCGGCAGGGTGTTTGAGGGATAGAGCTAGGGTTTGGTGGGAGTCAGTTGGTTACTCACTGGGATCCCCAGCCATTGAGGCTATGACTTGGTCAGACTTCGTTACCAGGTTCAGGGAGAGGGCCTTGTTGGTACCTCAATATGCGGGGAATGAGGAGATGTGGAAGACCCGCTATCATGATATGTTGAGGGCTAATATCCGAGAGCATGTTAGGTATCCATCTTATCCGACCTTGGAGTCCATGATTTCTAGGGCACGGGAGTGGCAGATTGATTTGGATCACCTCAAGAAGAGGAAGGCAGAGACTGAGTAGGTTACGGGGGTTTCGGGGAAGAAGCCCAAGGGATCCGACATTAGGTCGAGGGCCAGTTGGGCCAGAGCCGCTGCAGGAAATGCGGCAGGCCTCATGAGGGAGCTTGTAGAGTGTGGTCGTCAGACTGCGACAAGTGCGGCAAGATGGGGCACTTTGGCAGGGATTGTACTACGCTCGTCCCTATAGTTCAGACATCAGACCATATTTGCTTCCATTGCAATCAGAGGGGCCATAAAAAGGCCAACTGCCCTAGGTTGTCAGTAGCAGTGTCGGTGGTGGCGACAACTCTAGTGACAACATGAGTTGCGAATGGCCGGAAGGTCAATACAGAGGCTCTAGTGGTGCGGACCCAAGAATTACGGTTGACAGCCGAGGAGGCACGCATCACACCCGATGTGGTGGCTAGTATGATTTCTTCTCTCTAAACTTTTATATTATGTTGCTGTGATTTTGATATGTTAGGTTATGTGCTATGTTTAGGATCGTTCCATGTGAATGGTATTCCAGTTCAGGTGTTGTTTGATTTGAGTGCTACCTGATCGTTTGTGTCTCTTGCACTTAGCAAGAGGTTTCCTGTGTCCTCAGGAATGTTAGATTGTCCTCTAGAGGTCGATATTGCAGATGACTGGTCAGTGCAAGCATCAAACGTTTTCAGGGATTGTATTTTGAGATTGTTCAAGAAGCGCTACCTGGTAGAATTGGTTCCCATACCTTTACGGAGGAACAAGGCTATTATAGGCATGGATTAGCTAAGACCCAATGGGCCGGTGATCGACTGCGCGTAGTAGTTGGTGCAGATCAGGATCCCAAGTGGGGGAGAGTTGCTAATTCAAGGCGAAAGGCCACAATAGGGACCAACCTTATGTTCAATAGCGAGGGCTAGGCGCTATCTCCAGCAGGGGTGCGCAGGGTATGTCGCATATGTCTTGGATACCCGGGAGGTGGGTAAGGAGACGGTGAGTGATGTGTCAGTGGTACAAGACTTCACGGATGTATTTCTAGAGGAGTTTCCTGGGATACCTCTAGAGAGGCAGGTAGAGTTCAGGATCGACCTAGTCCCTGGTGCGACTTCAAAAGCCATGGCACCGTATCGGTTGACTCCTCTTGGGATGTAGGAGTTGTTTACATTGCTGCAGGAGCTGTTAGACAAGGGATTCATTAGACCGAACAGTTCACCCTGGGGAGCCCCAATTTTATTTGTGAAGAAGAAGGACGTATTGCATCGGATGGGTATAGATTACCGGTGTAACGCCTATAGATCCGGGCTAGTCAATTTAGAGATAATAGTGGTCGAAAACGACTTTTCGACAAAATATTGTTTTGAATAAATAATCTTAACCAAGTTGTAGAATATGTCTCAAGGGTTTTGTACATATAAAGAGCCCTGAAATCAGAGTTATAACGAAGAAGGTATGACCCGTCGAAGTTTCGCGATGGAACCGACACTGTACCAGGGAGACGTAAATAGTGAATTTATGATAGAGCGACTTTTAGCCTTAGTGATCTAAATGAAAGTCATAGAATATGTTAACCTAAGAGCGTCCGTAAAAAGAATGCCTAAATCTAACTTCGTATGAGGAATTATGATTTTTTTTAAGATATGGCTTAGCAGTGCACGACCTGAAACTCGAATTTTAGTTCGAGCAGTTTTTAGCTGACACAACCTAAATGAGAGTTGAATATCTCATTAATAGGAACTCAACGGTAAAAAGAAAGATGAAAACGGAGTTTGTATGAAGGAGTTACGATTTTTTCATGGTCATTTAATAGTATAATCTTCTCGTACTGTTAAATTTAAGATCGGTCGAGAATTAGCTGACGGAGTCAAAATGAAAGTTGTAGATCCTATTTTTACGTATGTATGGATATAAAGAACTTCAAACACAGAGCTCGTATGTGAAAGTTACGGATATTAGAAGTCATAAGTGTGTTGTGCGAAAATAGGTGACGTGACACAATCTTGGCCATTGCTTTCTACCCAAGTCTTGCCAGCAGATAGTAACATGTGGCACCAAGTTCAGCCATATTTCACCCTATAAATAGAACCATTCCCACCCTCATTTATTTCATACATTTCCCTTTCTTTCTTCTCTTTACTCTCTATAGAACCTCTCTCTAGCCCCGAACCCCCCGAAAAGCCTAGGGAACCTCCCTAGCACGAGGCGGAAGCCCCTGATTGCTCAATGGCTCGGAGAAGAGGAGATTTTTGGCTCGGGAACACTGATCCAAGTAAATCTCGGTTTCCTATAAAACCCGTTGTTTCATCGAAGGAAATTATTTTTAAGAAGCGAAGCGCTGTCTGAGTTCGGAATCACCACCTTTTCAAGTGAGTGCATAGTTACTTTCATCATACGCATAGATATGAAGTATTTTATATAATTTACATGCCATGTGTGCATATTATTTGGATAATTGCTGTCTATGCTGGATGAATGATTTTATACATGTTTTAAATGATTTAAACTATATATTTATTTTATGTCTACAAATATGTTGGGATAAAACATAGGTAGATGAAATAGTTGATGTGTGATAAAATAAAATGATGAGAGATATGTGATGATAATTAGACGAGGATAGATAGGTGATGATGAATCGGTGATCTAGGGTGAAAGATACTATAACCTTGTCCGACAATTTGTGGATGTAGTCATCTACTAGAGTATAGATGGCGACCACGAACTATTATAGACAACCCCGTGTAAACACTAGCAAGCTCATAACCTATAGGTGATGAACTACGAGTTTAGGCAATGTTGTAACTACGTATTCATGTGATGATACTCTGACCCCTTACTATGAATTACGAGTTCAGGCGATGTTATGACTACGTATTCATGCGATGATACCCTAACCCTTGTTGGGCACATATTGATGAAGTAATCCCTGAATCAACAGTGTCTATGCGATGTAGGCGATGATTCTTAGGGATAGTCCTTACGAACAAACATATAAGGAAATGCGATGTAAGGAGATGAGAGGTAAATATGATGTAGGAGACGATCCTTAGACCAAATCCTTAGGGAAGGTACTTAGGAATAAAGAAGATAATGGGGATGGATAATTGGGTTAATTGTTTGATGATTAAACATAATAATTATATTATTGTGGGTTGAAAACCGTATGTACTCACTAGGTTTCCCAACCTGACCCACTCAGTTTACCTGTATCACAGCTGACGAGGTGAAGTTACATTACACTGAGAGATTAAGGAGATATAGATGACTAGTGTAAATGAATGTAAGTTCTGTTTATGCTTATGTTTCTGTATTGACGATGACATCCCATATGTTTTAAAATGAATAAAAATACATTTATTCGGAAATGCTTTGATAATGAAATTATCATGTTTTTTTGGGAACAAATTCCGCAACATTTTTATTAAAAGAGATACTTTGATTTTTATAAAGCATAAACAAAATCAGTCTTTTCTGGCTGTGAAAATGGGTATGTCACAGTTGGTATCAGAGCATTAGTATAAGCAAACTAGAAATTTGTAGGATTTCAAGACTTAAACTTAGAATGCTAAGCATTGACTATGAGATGTGGCGTCATTACCTATATGGGATTTGTTGTACCATTTACCCGGACCACAAGAGCCTGAGGTATCTCATGGATCAGCCAAATCTCAATATGAGGCAGTATCAGTGGCTAGATGTGGTAAATGATTATGATTGCGAGATCCTTTACCACCCGAGGAAGGCCAATGTTGTGGTCGACGCGCTTAGCCATAAGGTCGCACCGATCAGGGATATCTGTATGAGGATGATGATTGTGACTCTGCTGTTGGAATGGATTCTGGAGGCCCAGCTGGAGGTCATGAAGGAGGAACATCGCAAGAGAGAGCGTATTGTGGGTAAGGTTTCCTCCTTCGACTATGACAACCGTGGATTGTTGACTCTTCACCATAGAGTGTGGGTCCCATATCATGGAGGTGTGCGCCAGGTATTGATGGAGGAGGCACACAAATCCAGGTTTTCTATCCATCCGGGGACGATGAAGATTACAGAGATCTTCGATCCGACTACTGGTGGCCCTGCATGAAGCGGGACTTCGCCTGGTACGTCGAGAGGTGCTTGACCTGCAGAAAGGTCAAGGCCGAGCACTAGTGGCCTCACGGAAAAATGCAGTCGTTGGACATTCCCATGTGGAAATGGGAAGATATTACTATAGATTTCATC